TAATAATTATTAACTAATATGTATTATTATATATATATATATATATATATATATATATACACATTTCACTTTTTTTTATATAAATATTATTTTGCATTGTTAGCTTAATACAAGGATTTATAACTAAATCTCCTAAGTTTGCCAAATCTTGTGCAATATTCTTGGGATTATGTCCAACAATATTGCTAACAGCAAAGATATCCAAATGATGAAACAATGCATTTTAATCTTTAAAAATAACAATGTAAGAACAATATATTGTATAACCTTTACTCACTAACTGATTGATTTTTAGTTCAGAAATGTTGCTTGCTTCAATCAAAAGTTGATATTAATTCATATCTAACATGCACTTCCATAATTATTTGGATAAAGCAAATAGTCTAAACTTTCATACTATGAAAAATATTTTGCCCATGTATTAAAACACCTTATTACCACTAAACATTTGAATAATTTTTCTGATAAATGAAAATTCAAGCCGAACACTACACAAGAAAACTACCATTCTTTCACAAGTTGCATTTCATTGAACTAATCTTCATACATCATAGTGAACTAAATAAGAGATTTGCTATTACTTGTAACTTATATACAAAGTAACAGCTGTAACAGATCAAAAAACTTGGTTTTTATCTGGAGTTTTTTAGATACACTGAGAACTACATTAGCATTATATATGTCATCGGTTAGACCACATTTGGAGTATTGTGTTCAGTCTTAGGCTCCTTACCTTAGAAAAGACCTTCTTTGTTGGAAATGGTTCAAAAGAGGGATGTTAGAATGATACTTGGGATGGGGAGGTTGTCATACAAGGATAAGTTACGATTTTTGAAATTTCATCAATCAATGATAATGCTCTTTTAAAGTGTGGAATTCATTAATAAAATTAAACAAGAAAAATTTAGATAAAAATACTTTCTACACTTTTATAAACATGATATTTACACATTTGGACATACCATAGATAACATTATTTGTCTCCTACAGTTCATCCTCAATAATGGTCACTTTTGTTTTGGTAAAGAATTCTATAAAAAAAATCACAGGTGTACCTAAGGGAAACCGTATGGCACCCACTTTTGCTATAATTTTCATGCATAAACTGGAATCTTAAGCCATTTAAGAAGCATCTATAAAATCAGATTTTTATGTTTGATACACTGATGATGTTTTTATTGTTTGGCAGCATTCAGTGGAAGGACTTAATATTTTCTATACACGTTTGACTGCCCAAACCACCGAATTCCAGTTTTCACTCGAAACTTCACACACTCAAAATCAACTTTCTGGATGTTCTGATTACTGTAGAGAACAATGGAGGTTTTTCTCCTGAACTGTATCTGTAAACAATGCATAATGGTGTATCTTTCAACTTTTCTTCCTCCCATTCTACTGCTTTAAAGGAATCAATGCCTTATTCTCAAATTATACATGCCCAATGCCTCACATCACTCAACAAGTCAATGAAGTAATAACAAAATTAAAACTTTGCTTCATGCTAATAATTATCTTCAAAAATGTACTCAAAAACACTGAAGATGCCATCCCTAATTATAAAATGAGAGACTACATAGAGAGATAGCAAGTAGTTAATTCCACCCACTGCCAATTAACTCTTGGGCTTCTCCTGTCAGACCAAACAGTGGCATTTGACTATCACCCTAATAATGCACCCATGGCTCCAAAGTGTGGGGCCATCAATTGTTTTTGCCACTAATGGGATGTGAATCACAAAACCTCAGCTCTAGTCAAACATGATAACCAATGAGCCATGCTTGACTCACAAGTGTTGAAATTTACTACCATTTAGTTGTGAGATACATTGCATAATATTTTCAGATCTACTTTATTACTTTGCTAAGAATGTTAAATCAAGTTGACAAAAATTATTTTCACATTCATCTCCTGTTGTTAGTTGGCAAGATGATGAAATTCTTTGCAAAGAATTTTTTATGTAGATATATAGAGTATTTTTTTTTTTGGAAAGTTGGCATTTAATAAAATGTAATCAATAATTTTAGTAAAACGTATTTTACCAATCTGTTAGGGATTTCTAATAAAGCAAGCCAAATTAAATTGGGTATTTTGACTTTAGAAAGCCTCTTAAAAGGCACATAAAAGTTTAATAAGTAAATTTAATGCTTACAATACTGAAGTAAAGTTATCAAGTTAAAAGATGACTTTGTGGTAGATAAATAATTTATTATGATAAAATTATCAAATATTTATCAGACTTTATTTTTATTCTGTATTACAACATGTACATTCATTTAGTTAATTTAATTAACTGTTAGTGCTGTTTATTAATTCACTGAATGGAAAATTTTAAGAGAGATGAACTATCATGCTAATTAAATAGCAATTTTAAAAAATGTTTATAAAAGCAGACTAAAACTATAAACAATTCATGGCATGTATACAAAGATTCAAAAATTTTAGAAAGCTATAGAAAAAGAAGTGCTTCAAGCTCATCCATGAAAGTGAAATCATCCTAATGTTCCTTCATCTTCTGAAGGTTTCAAACTTTTCAAGTTTTATCAAATTCTGTTAGTGTTAAATTGAAAGAAATACATTTTATATTATGAATTGAAGTTAGTGACTTTGGTAAGGCTGAATGTTTGATTTATGAAGTGGTCAACATGAGAGAGACTCAGCTATTAAATGTAGTTCTGATACTGTCAAGTTCCTGAACAGAAATGTCCAAGTGGAAATATAATTAGGCTTAAGCTTTCAATAAGGACTCAACTCCTTACCTGCAGACAAAGTAAACTGTAAAGACCTAAACTGGATAAATATCTTCCTTGTTAAATATACTTAAGTTTCATTTTACTTTTAGTAAATAAATGTAATATGCAAAATCAGGAAATGCACGAAGCACTTACTATTCTGAAACCTTTGCTCTTTTGTTAAAAAAGAATAAAAACATGATAAACATGGGCCTCATGTAGACATGATTGAGATGTGTAACTAAGATTGTTAGAGGTTTGGAATCCAGAATATGTTTTCGTAAATAGAAACCTCTATATGAAGTGAGACTAAATAGTACAAGTTTAAGATCTGAAAAACTCAGGTACGACTCCAGTTACAGCAGTGTTGCTTTTCTACTCGAGTGGTAGACATGCAGCCTTTTGCTTTTAGGTCTAAGTGTGATAGAACCTGTAACATTTAATTTGAAGGCATTTAAGATTGAATGAGTACGTTAATGACTATGGTTGGATACAAGACATTTAGTTTATGACAATAATAAAATTAGATAAAACATTTGTAGTATTACTGATTAATTCAATAACTGCTAAGCAGAAAATGTAAAAAAAAAAGGAGAAACGGATGTGTATTTAAATTTAACTTTACATTCGCTGCACGCTGTAACAGTGTGAGACTAAGTGTGAGTCACTGTAAGTTGTAACCACCCAAATAGTTAAGCAGCAGCGGCACAGTACACTAATAATGGTAATACAAGTATTTGTGTTACACTTTATACTGCAGTTATATCCTGCTTATCCAATTTCTGTTACACTATTCAGTATTCTTACCTTCTAGAACCTCACGAACAGTTTCATGAAATTTCGACATTGTATATTCTTATCTGAAACAACTCACTTAATGAATGTACAGTTAAGTTCCAATTTCTAAGAATGTCCATATGTTTCTCGTACTTCTTAAATCTGCATCAATGATAATGATATCGTTATTTCCGCTATACTTTTCATAACTCTCACATTAAAACAGCATAAACCTCACACAATAAGAACACCCAATGAGCGGCTCAAAATCCTACACCTCGTTACATGAACCGAATATGTATTATTGATCTTAATAGAACTTGAGAGGCAAAACCCGACAACACTGTAACAAATTAAACAATTAATTATGACAAAATAATACATTTTTCACGTGTTGGCAACGCATCGTTTACACATCTGAGTAGAAAAAATAGGAAGGTTTTTACATTTATATTATTTATACCACTTTAGATTTCTGACAAAAAAAAAACTTTTCTGATATGTATAACCATAATATTGTGCTTGTAAATACAACTATAAATGGTCCATAGTTATCTAAATATAGGATTAATGATTGCCATGCTATTTTAACAAGAACTGTATTGGCACAAAGCTTCAAATGGTTTAAGCTAAATCCTTAACTAAAAATAAAATTAGACTCCCATGTTAAGGTTAAAAATAAAACTACTAAAGTTGCATTAAAACCAAAAATAAGAACAATTTTAAACAAGAGTTCCAATGTTGTCTAAAACGTTAAATTAAATAAAAATACGTATACCTCTCTCTTTAGTTCAAACACACAATTCACACCACAAAGTGAAAGCAAAAGCTTAATATAATGCAAAGGCTAAATTCTTCAAGCAATCAGAAAATTCGCTACAAAAATTTTAAGTTATATGTGTGATAAAATCCTATCTTAACTCTGAATTCTGTGAAAATCTGTCTGAAATTCTAAAATATCCTCTCTTACATGGGCAACCCTGGCTTTTTGTACAAAAATAAAATATACACAAAGCCATATTTACACATGAAATGTACCTCACCTTCAAGATCTATCTATGTCCACTGAAAGTCGAGTTCTAGGGCAGAGCTGACTCTAACTCTTATCCAATTCACCAACAGGAAAAATAATTTTCTATTTGTGGACAGAACATCTTCTCTGCAAGAAAATCTTTTAATTGCTAAATAGCGAATCTATATATTGCCTGCTTTCAAAAACAAGGAAGTTCAGAGTGTTACTCAAGTGAATCTCGGTATTCAAACTAAGAATTGTGAAAAACAACAATAATTTCGAAAAAATAACATCTAAACTAAGGGAATGGCAGACACATAGCACATTCTGTACTACACCCATCATCACTGTCATGATATAAAAGACTGTTTCGTTCAGATAATATTGATTAATTTAGTTTTGTGAGTG